CCCTCACCCCAGAAAAATCAGCTTCATTAATACCAATCTCTACTATTTAAGTGAAAATAATAAAACGAAACTCGTTTGTACAGGGTGAAAAGGAATATTTGGTCTAGGCTATCACAGATGAATTCTATATATTCAGTTTCATGTAAATCCATATAAGAGAAGTATCGCCAAATTCACTTTAACCTTGAAAAAAAGGGTAAACCTTTTTTCTATTGAGTCATGTTCTACTTGTCGTAGAGGTAAATAATCTGAAATGAATCATGAGTCAGATATGATTCGTTTTCTTGCAAATTCCTATTGAAATTCACGTAGGAAAGTAAAGGAACGCGACATGCAGTGTTCTTTTCTGTTACACGAATATTGGTTGATCATGGTAGTGTGACACCATAGAACTTCATCTTCTCAAAAAATGTGATCAACATTGTTTATCGATGGGGTCGCAGTTTCACAATTGAGATTGCATATATGTACTGCATTCGCTATCCTGACTAGTAGCTTGTTGTGAAATTTTAATGCTTCAAAAGTTCTGTACCAATCATGACGTTCAGAAAATTTAAAGTGCTAGGTACACAGAAGGGTGACCTTAGTAATATATGTCAAGGTCAAAGTCGTGCGAGGGGCTGTCTTTTTTCTGAATAATTATCATGGTTCTCGTTTTTCGGATGTATTATTGCAAATATATTTTTTTATTATCTCTTTTGTTAACTACATTTTGTCACTAGACGTTAGAAACTACGTAGTTGTATTACACGCAAAGAAACTTTCTACAAAATGACGTCCTTAACAACATATTTCTATATAGGTCATTTTGTTCGGTGAGTAGGTCACACATTCAAATATTTACCTCTCAATTTTACAGGTTACACCGAAGAAAATCGGATCACAGGGTGAATCAAATCAAAATAAGAATCCAGTCAATATTTATGATATCGTACAATACATTTTTTATTTCTTGTTTCTCATTTGCAGAAGAAAATTTTAAAAATTTGTTTCACTATTTATTACTAATATTTAAGTGTTCTTCTTTCTTTATGGTCAAAGAGAAGACGTTCCGATACGCCTTGGATCTCTTTATTTTTCGTCTATATCAAATATTTTTTTCTTTATAAACAATACATTGAATTAAGTTGTTTCTTTCATTTTACTTTTGAAGATTTTATCTATTGTAGACATATTTTGTAATGTAAACATTAATTTTTCATACTGAACATTATGAGCTAATTCTTATTGTTTTAAATTTCTGTTTTAATTCTGGCAGTAGTGGTACTGGACGAATAGTGAGACTTATATGTTATGGAAACAAGGGCAAGGGGATACTCGGTAGAGCAATAATTTAACTAGAACTACCGAGCATTTAATACGATTAATATGTAATCCCTACAAAAGTTGTAACAATAGATTGTTTTCAGTTTCTTCAGACATTCATTATAGTATTCAAGTGAAACTATATTTTCAAGGTAATTTCGAATATTCAAGATATCAATAATTACGAAACAAAAAACTCGAAACCAATTACTTTGACCATTACGTAGTTCTAATGTTAAACAGATTCTCCGTAGTGACTCAACTTTGAGATGTAGTGAAGCGAGTGAACTGTTTGTAGATGTCCATAAGGACGCATGGGAGAGTAAAGGAACACGCAAATATCGATTAGTCCCTGTAACCTGTACCCAATGACTGCGTTCTCAGCTGTGAATCCACGACTCGGCCGATAAAAAATGTCCTTCAGATGTTCAGTTCAGTAACCCATCGTGTAACAAATAACGTGGAGTCGCGTTTTTTTACTTTCCTATGCAGTTGCACTGTCCGTCGGCTACCATCACTATCGACGGACCAGCAGCTTTGGACTCTGATACCATGATAATGATTTACACAAAAAATTTATTTTTATTGTCTGGAAATGTCTGAACGTGGGCTTCAACAATATGTAACAGAAACTATTTGGTTCTACTTAACACATTGTTGACCAGCAATTTTACATGGAATCTGTCCCCTGTTACCGGTTATTATTCCGTAATTAAATGTGAAAGTGAAACAATCTAAATAAACTTCAATGTACTTTATTTACACATAATGAATTGTATATTTGAATATTTTGCTTTTGAAATATTCTATAATGTCCTGCGTTTCAAAAATTGAAATAGCTAATGCAAGTGCAAACACGAGGTAACTCATGACCGGCCAACAATGTGTTAAGAATTTTAATGCAACCATTGCAGGACGTTTCACAGTCACTTCGCGGTCAAATATTTCCGACCGTGATATGTACCAGTATACATTCTGTAACTTCTGTCTAACATACTGTCCAGAGTTGACACTTGGGACGACATAGGGGTAAGAGAAGTTGCTTTGTTTATAGTTTTGGTTGGTTACGTGTAATCGTAGTGACAAATAGCAAATTAGTATTGGAAATTAGATGGGAAAAGATGAAAACTGACCAATGAGATCAAAAAGCAACTCTCGCGCAACGGATGGCATTTCTTCACATCATATTTCTTTAAGATTCTTAGTTGTTTTCTATTCGGTCTCAATACATTTTTGTTAACATAAAACTTATTTATATCTCAAGCATTTTTGTCTGTTCATTATGGTGTTTTTACTCAGTTTAGTGAATTGTATACGCCCTTTAATTTGTGCGTCATAATTTTTTAACAGCTTGTATATAAACATATTTTGCGAAAAATTATCGGATATTGTGTAAACCATATCGTCTCTCAAAGAAAACATTGTATTTTAACATAATCGGAGTTCAAAGTACCACGAAACGTGTAAAAAATTGGCTAAATGCACAAAAGTTTTTTATATTTTTGGAAAGAATAGTACAAGATTCGTATGAGTCCAGTACCATTAATTACTGAGTTACAGAGGAGAATTGTTGTGCAATACGACAAAATCAATCCCAATTATTGCAGAAAATTAGTAACATCAATGCTGAAGTGACTTAATTTAATTCGCAAAGCAAAAAAGTTTTGGATAAAACATTAGATATTTTTTGATATTAAGAAAACTATGTTATCGAAAATGTGGTGCAAAACCGAGTCAATGAATATTTATTTTTAATAACAATCGAAAAGAGATACAAAATGTTCGAGAACTGTTTGTGTTAACTTAAATAATGCAGAATATTCTTGTCATGATTATTTTTTGTATACCTTACTGTTCATGATGTGGGATAAAGAATTGTACGAACATTTTAATCATTGAATCAGTTTTCAATTATTGAATTATATATATCCATTGGACACTTTAGGTTACTTTTCTTTATGGTCCTTTCAAATGGTCAATCGTCCATTCAATAAAAATCTCGGAAGTGTAATTGACAATAAATAATTTTATGAAATTTGTTTAAGTGAGAAAATTAATGTTTTTATCAAATTTTCGATACGATGGGTTCGAAGAACCTCCCTCTGGTCCTCCTAGAGTTAAGGGTTAAAACTCGAAAGCAATACTCACAAAACATTTTATTTTGCAGTTTTATAGACGTAAAAGAACAATGTATTTTTTCTATAATATTTTTTTCTTACAATTTTTAAGGAGAAAAAATATTACAATACATTAGGCTTGATTTACTCTATTTACACACAAACTAAAATTACACAGGGACAAGGGGACTCTTCCGTTCAGGATGCTCGCGTCAATAGCTGTAGAACAACAGTTGTTGTTGGCCAAGCCTTATAATGAGGAAAGCAGGGCTCCTTGTCCCTGCGCAGTTTTAGCCTGATGGTAGTCGAAACGAGCGTGACAGGCGAACAGTACAAGCCTGTAGGTACATATGCACAGATATGTTTGGTATGATTTTCAGTATTATCAAAAGAGTGATTTAAAAAATTTGAAGTTATGTGTATATTTATATGAACAATAATGTACAAAATTTTGCGATACTTTTTTCATTTTCAGAAAGACAAGAAGACTCCTTATACTCATAAAAACTTTTCAATTGTATAATAAAAATGTCAATATTCACTGCTAAATACTGTTTTCATTGCTTTTATTAACATTGTCAGAATAAACTGTCTCTGTGCTCTTTAATTTTTGGAGAAATACATTCATCAGTAATACATCACATTACTACAATTTTGAGAATTCATTATTCAAAACTAACACACCATTTGCAAAAACTAAAAATGAAGAATAAACTCGGTGTTTAGCAGTGCGAAAAAAATAATAAATCTTGAAACTAAGACCGTAAATATTCACACTTTCGTTATGCAAGTGGCACCTTTCGATAAGTATTTTATTCAACTTGTGTCAAATACCTTAAATTCTATTGACTGACAAAAATTATTTAGAGTTCTTTAACTGGAAACCACAGAAGTTGTAGACTGGCAGAAAATTATTATATTGCACATTATAATGACGTATACTCGGTTTGTTCGCTTATTATAAACATAAAAAATACAAATACCGATTAACACCTTAAGGAGGTTTAGACGCTTTTATAACAACACAATAAACATATGAGTAGAAATAATCAGATAGACATATTTTTTCTTAGAAATACTTGATAACTAAATTGATATTAAATTAATACTAAATACCAAATTTGATTAATGACCTTTTTAATAAGAAAACAATGAGATAATATACTTTTGACTTAAAAACTCACTTATTCATTAATTTTTAGATTTTAATTCCAATTAAGCTCCGTGCAACTATTAAACAGATGTTCTGGAGAAATAATTTCGGTATTCGCAACTCAAAGGATAAAATTGAATTTTACGAATTATATACATTATGGACAATGAATTATCTCTTCCTGTTATTATATTTTTGATATTCATTATAATTGTTTAGTGATTTGGCAATATTTGATAATACTATTCAATTAATAATATACATAAGAAAAATACACAATTATACTTAATTTACAATAATCATATGACACCGTCAGATGAAACGTGATATTACGTTTATCGTAACTTTTATGCCCCTGACTACCTGTAAAAACGAAATGCTTTTTAATGTATTTTTTTATCAATCTTTATATTCTCTGTCACCAGGTACAATGTTATATTCATGATACTGACATACTTCTTACCAATTGGATCAATGACATTTACATATGCCAGAATTGGTTTGGAATTGTGGGGTTCACAAAGTATCGGCGAAAACACAGCAGGACAATTGGAGAGTATACGGAGCAAACGAAGGGTATGTACATTACATATTAATAAATTTATACATGTATGTTCAGAGAGAACGTTCCTTACATACTTATCAACAAAAGTTAACGAAAATATAAATGTAATTATACAAATTATGTGCAACATATATGTATACGTATTACACATTTTCTTATACTAAATACATACTTACCATCATTTACATGTATAGTATATACAAGGTGTTCCGCGAATCATGGTCAACCGATTAGGAGGTTATTCTATATGTAAAAGTGCGTCGAAAAAATAGAATAAAATTTTTTCCTGCGAGTCTTCGGTTTTCAGAAAATCGAGGTCGAAAATTTACTCAGTACGTGTACACTCGGTATATGCCGACTTTGTGCATCTCACTATACACTTTTGTTTTGATTCTTATTTGTATTTAAAAATATAGTAATGACCACGATTGATGGTTTATCGTCCGTGCTATTCTATTAGCGGTATAATTATTCAGTACCTAACAGTTTCTCAATATGGCAGCTTATTCGAATAGTGAGTATACGGATATGATTCTCGCACATGGAGCGTGCGAGGGTAATTTGAGTGCCGCTTCGCGTTTGTATCAAGAGCGATATCCGCACTTTGTCATTACTATGTCTTTAAATACAAATAAGAATCAAAACAAGAAAGTATAGTGAGACGCATAAAGTCTACATGTACTGAGTGTACACGTACAGAGAAAATTTTCGACCTCGATTTTCTAGAAACCGAAGACTCGCAGGAAAAAATTTCATTCTATTTTTTCGACTCATTTTTACATATAGAATGACCTCCTAATCGGTTGACCATGATTTGCGGGACACCCTGTATGTTACAGTTGACATAATAAATCCGGTTAGTATTAATAATAACCGCACATGATTAATAATAGCTGCACCTTTTGTTAAATATTAATAATAAATTGTAAGAATTATATTTACCGGTAATTTTTAATAATTACTTATGCAGCTTGGTACATTTAATAAAAACATTTTCTGTATTATTTTCTACTATTTATGAACAAATTTATACTACATTTCTAACGTGGTTATAAATTATTTCTTTATTTTTATACAGATAGAAGTTTTGACAAAATAATTTTTATTAGTAAAACTATACCACAGAAAATAAAAATTATTTTTATAAATTACTACAACATAAAAATTTTACATTTATCTGGTTGTAAATGACTTGTTTATTTATATAGAAAAAAATTTTGGCAAAATAACAAATCTATACTGCAGGAAGTAAGGCATACGATATTTTTCCACTCCTTTCCTTAGATTTATCGAAGATAGTTATGATTTATTAATACTTACTGGTTTATGTGGTAAATTCTTACAAATTAATCACTTTGATCATTTTATTTGATTAGTATTAATAATGGACAGTTATTATTAATATAAACCGATTTATTACTTGAACCGTAACACATACATGAGTAACGCATTAAAAAAGAATTTTAAGTTATTTTTCATGAAGAATTATTTTGGGAGAAAATATACTATAATGTATAATATAATACAGTTATTGCACAAATTTGAAGAATATTTTCAATTTTTTGTTTCAAAATACTGGAAAATGTGACAATTGATACCTTTTTAAAATATCCTTGAACAGCCATTTAAAGAATAAATAGCAAACAAATTTTGGTACTATTGTTGTAAAATCAGAGTTTTTCTTAACCCCTGTAGTAATAACGTCATGCATGTGAACATAAATATAAATTTTAGGAATACTGAATAAATGCGTTTTCAGTTGTTACCCATGAACACCTCAATTCTTTATACACATCATAATTTTAACAATGGAATATTCAAAAAATATAATGGTTATACATTTTTTCCAAATTAATCTATTTTTAATAATTAATATTTTACGAAAAATTGTTATTTTAACTTTAACTCAAGGAACTTTTCAGGCAAACCGTACATTTCTTCTAGAAATGTTGTAATCAGATTTATATTAATCTATTATGAACTAAACTAATAAAAAGGTTTAGTCAACAACATTAAATAATATAGCACCTCTTAGGAATTTCATTTGCAAAAAAATAGTGCTGAAGTTAATGCTATTTCCTGAGGTGTGATAATACTAAGAATTCGTCTTCTTGTTGATATATTTGAATTTCAAGTTTTAATGCAACTACGACAAGTGTCAATTTTTTTAGTATATTTATTTTTCTAAAAACGTGACGTATCAAACTTGGTTTAACTTTAAATGTATCAACACTTTGTATGTAAATACCTATTCATACTATAACCGCTCAAATAACCGGTCATGAAATAAAAGTTATATTTTCCTGAAGTGCACATATATAAGTGTTAATTTAATATCTATAGAAAACAATGCACAAAATAGTTCTTAAATAATATAAAGAAAATTATATATTATAAGTTTCTTTTTACGAAAGCTTTTTACAATCAGACTTCGATTATTTAACTGAAAATTATTAAAAAAATATAGATACTGATGATTTACGTCTTTTTTTAAAGTTAATACTCTTAAGAATATCTTCTAACTGCAAAATGTTGATTTTACTGCCATTACCAGGAATTCCTGTAATACGAATGTGTCAAGCAAGAAAATAAGATAAAATCACATTTCTCGTGAAAAAGAGAAATGGTAAAATATGTAAATAAAAAATAAAATGTTAAATAAAATATAAATTAATCTTCTGTTGAAATTAACGCTAAACGTACCGACACTTTGTATATATTTGTTCCTACCGTGACCGGTCAAATAATTAGTTATTAAATAAAGGTAAACAAATTGGAAGATAAATTTTTTTAGTGAAAACAGAAACAAAAGGAAACATAAAAATTGGTAAACTAATTAATCGGACAATATAGGAATTGATATAAAGTTAAATGAACGAAAAAAATGCAGAATTTTTAATCAAATTTAAAAAACGGTCATTTGATCAGTCGCGGCACGCTTAGTGTTAAACTTTATTGTTTTCATATAGTCATACAGTATACAGCACAAACTTCATTCTGGTTTTTTTCTGTTTCTTCTAATACTTATTACTCCTTCCATTTATTTTTAATACTATTTTCGTAGTCGCGTTTTAAATATTCTACTTGTAACTATATATACTGAGGGTGTTGTTTAGACCAAATTAGTATTGTTTCAAAAGCTCTGTTAATGTTTTCCTTACTGAAACCTTCATCATCGCTTTCATCTTCCTCATCTTCTTCCTTATCGTTATCTTGTTCCCTTTCAGTCAAGAAGTTCCTCTCCATATCTTCACACCGTAATAAAAAATCATTTACAGTCTCCTCAGGTTCCTTTTCTTCAGTAATAACAGCAATAATATCTTGTAAGTTAAGTTCTAAAGATTCCTCTGGCTCATCTTTTACCAAGCATGATTCAGATCCTTGCTGAATAATGCTCCATGCATGTCGAACGCTTGACACAAGTCATTTTTGCTCAAGCTTCACCGAACAAATCAATGCAATCTTTCAAATCAAAATCGTCATAAAATTTACATAGGCCACCAAGAAAGTTCAACACTTGGCACAGGATTTTAAGTCGATAGGACTTCTTGGTTCCATCCACCACCTTCTGTTCTATCAATTGCACGAGGGAAGTAGTACTCAATGATAAAAATACAATTTCAAAGTTATCATCGCTTTGCTTGAATTTATTGGGCAACCGGAGACTACGTTTCTGAGAATCGTCTAAAAGAAGTAATATTTTTTCAGTTTAGTCAGGAAAATGAAGTATTTTTGCGGTTGGCTTAAAATGTATATTATACCAGTCTATAAATATGGTATGATCCATTTGAACTTGCGATTGACTTCTAAACAGCACGAATAGCTTCAACACTCTCGGATTTTTGCATTTTTTTATGTTTGTGGCAACAAACATCCTTTTCCTATTCTGTTTCCTCGTGCAACGTTCCAGAAGCTTCTTAGGAAATGCTTCCCACCTCAGATTGGTATTCTTTGAATAGTAGACATTCTTAGGTGATATCTTTTCTTCTTCCAATTTGTGCGTGAGATTCTTTAAAAACAGTTGCGCATCTATTTCCATGTTTTCTATTCTCTGCCGCTTTGTTTCTACAATCGTTCCTGGAACTATGGTATTGTTCATCTAAGCGACCGCAACCAAATCCCTTGGCATACTTGTACGCGCCAATGCATTTACATACAACCACGCATTTATGTACGCTGGCCTATCTGTGTTCATTGCAGAATTCACAGCTGCTGCTGTATGCATATATGTGTACGTTAGCATACCTACGTTCATCACCTCATCTACGTATGCTGGTACTCTTGTGTCTATTGCTGTATTTCCACCTGTCTTCATTGTTGTATTTCTACCTGCAATCGTTGTTGCATTTCTACCTATATTCGTTGCTGCATTTCCACCTACATTCATTGCCGTATTTCCACCTACATTCATTACTGTATTTGGACCTACATTCATTGCTGTTTACAGATCGATTGCTGTATTCATAAATGTAGGATCCGTTTATCCGCCTGAGTCTTCCTAAAGGATCTCTCGAAAATAAGGAACCCCGATATTAGGATAAAATGATAAGAAATCGATAGAAAACGCTAATAATATATCAATGAGTATAATCAGTTACAGACTTGCACGTTCTTTCGAAGCTGGACGCAGACTGACCCTCCCTCGTATACTGCCCTACTCCTAATCCTCGTCGCCCTTTTGATTGCTTATTTTCAGGCCGTCGCATACATCGCACTCGCCCACTTCACTCCCCACATAAATGTAACTGAACCAGAATACATCGGTGCATTCACATACGTCGGCCTATCGGTGAACATTCATTTATTCGCATACGTTGGTGAATTGATATACATTGGTGTGTTCATACTCACAATCGTATATGGCACGGCAATTACTGTAGTGAGGCAATTTATTTTGTACATTTCGGAGTACGCTTTCTCGCATCCTGCCAAGGCCTGTCCGAGTCTGGCTACGGTCAATTCACGCATCTGGCAGCCAGATTCGCACAAGCCAGAGTTTTTCCGGCCAGCCACGCGGACACTTTCTCCAAGATTTTCGCGCCCTTTTCACGCACATTTTTCCTCTCGCGTTTTTGGTGTTACCGTAGCTTGTTTCCTGTCCTTGACAGGAGGATATAACCCGGAAGACCGGCGGGACGACAGTCAGTCCTCAGCTCGCAGTTCTCAGTCAGACAGTCACACACAACCTCGCCAAGACGCGAGTCAATCCCTTGTTGTACCGCGTATTTCAACTCACACACCGAACTCAGGCAGTTCCTTCCTCGCTACGATTAAAAGAGGTATTATAGAAAAACCGCGAATCCCCGTTCATTAGCATACCGCACTTCTCGCCACATAACCACCTCAACATTAAGTACAGAAGACGCATCTACCGCGTTTATTATTGCAAATGCATCCGTTAACATTTTTATAGCTGTCGCCTAATTCTTTTTCACTCGAGTATCGAAAGTCGTTTCGTCTTTCGCAGACTCTTCTTTTATGTAGACTGCAGTATACGAGTTGACATTTGCTACGTCGTCAATGTTTTTACAGCTAATATTATGATACTTTGTAAAATTCCGCAGCCAATCATTGGTAGCTATGGAGGCCGACGATTCACCGAATTCATTGCAGATTTTCTTTAATTTTGCCAGAAATTATGAATCCGTAACTGATTTCCTATAAAACTTCTGTTCTAGAAACCACGCGTATAATCGGGCATCTATTTCTTCATCGCTTGGTTTCTGTATATTTTTTTGTACCGCTAGTTATGAAATCTTCGATGCGTTTTGCTGGATTCAATGAATGAACTGTAAATAAAACTTGGCGACTACATTGCTGACAGACCCTCTTGCTTGCAACTGTTGTAGTATCAAATCTTCATTGTACCGATGGCAGATATTTACTAACAGCGCCAACAGCAATCTCCATAATTACAAACGTGGAGCAAACAATGTTTCATGCTCACAGTCTGTGAAGAACGCGTCGCTTCAGAAATGTCAGGAAAGAAATAAAATGAAGTTCCTTCGTCAACGATTACTCCGCATCTGTAGAATTTTACTGCTCGCTGCGTGTCCAGGGTATACATAACTTATTTGTTCTTCTTCCTTGTCGTTTCACTTTTCATTGTATGATGATCCGTGAATGTGTCCACTCCATTCGAGACAAAAAGCACGACTCCTGGAAAGTTAATGTTCTGTTGCCGTTATCAAGTTAATACATAATTAATTCATATAATACGTGGGACGTTAAAACAGTTCTCAAAAAATGTAAATAAAAAGACGTTTTATTTTTCAGCGTATATTCCATTTAAACTAAATAGTAATACTGCACAAAATAAATCTGAAGAAGTTTACACACACGTCAATTAATTATAAATATAGTATTCTATTTATACATAATAACTATTTTTCGGAAACTTTTCGAATGCCTTTTGTATTAGTAGTTTACTATACGGATATATCAAAAAGTATGGTGAAACTGCAGGAAAAGTGCGTCCTCTCTAATTTGAATAATTTTGGAATATGTTGTAGAATTCAACAATTTGAACAATTTGACCTTGTTGATACTTGTCAAGTGTTGACCTTCATACGTCCTAAACCTGATAATTAATGGGATTATTAGTAATAGCTTGATTGGAACAGATTTTGACAATCGTATGCAGTTTGTCATTGATTTCTGAATCAGATGCATAATAATAATTCATTTTTACAAAATGTTTTATTTACGGACGAAGCAACATTTATTCCGGGGTACATTGAAACATAAAGGGTATTATGAACCACCAACAACATTTGCTCCGGAGACAATTCAAGATGTCACTTTTTCATTAATTAATAGGTTGCATTGCTGCATTCGTGTTAACGGACACCATTTTGAGTATCTAAACACTTCATAAAGATTAAAATGTTTAACGTATGCAATTTAGTTGTTATTGCACTTTTACTACTTTATTTATCCGTAATTTCATCACGGAAATCGTACACAACTCCATCAGAGTAAGAGTACGTGACATATTAATAAACATTGTCAGATAAACACTGCCATCTTCGCGAATGAACGCTCGGAGACATTCACTTTGCGCGGATCAAACTATTACTAACATTTCATTAACTATCATATAACTATTAGGACGTATGAAGGTCAACATTTTCATACTCAGAATTTGATATTCTATCTAAAAAAAATCAAGATGACCTTGAAATCTCTGAAACGCCTCCACCCACAAAAAAAGCTCGCACTTTATAAAATGTGCTCTCTGATGTTATTTAAATCCTATGTTTCAACGTTTTCATAAACTGTACCGTTAAGTAATTATTCGAGGTGATCAAGTTAGGTGCCTCATCCTGTATATTGGTACCTAACCATGTCACGGCGGTCGTAAAACAAAATGCAAACAATCCCAGACCCGATTCTTGCGTGATGCCACCTATTTATTTTCCTCTACACGTATCCAGGAAAATCAGTTCCCTTGCTGATAATTGGATAATGGAGATTGGTATTGACCAGCAAAGAAAAGACGCACAATGATGCCTTTTGACGAACAGCTGGCCAAAATTCGTAATTTCCTAGGATTTTCATAAAAATTTTTATACGCATTATGTTATACTAATATCAATCCCTATTATCTAAATGAAGTTCGAATACACACATTATAAGAAACAACTTCAATAAATGAAAATGAAGACGAAAATTTCTAGCACAATGCGAAACTTTAATGCCATAACTTTTGAAACAATACTCATTGTCATAAAGTTACTCTTTTTGTAAATGAGTACGAAAACTCCCCATTCCCAGACATATTTTTACGAATATCTGGAAAACCAAGGTCCCACTGTCTGTCGTTGCCACATTCCCAGGGGCCGTGTTGCGATCACGGTTCGGGACGTGGCGATCCCGGGGTCCTTAGCTAGGGTCTAACCAACCCTTGGTGTGGACGAGACACCTTGATATGGCAGGCACAGCTTATTCATGTATGTAAGAAGCCGGACAGGTCCTACCAATAGACCTGCGATTGGATTGGTACTACGGGCGCTCCGGTTGCCCACGAGGGCGTACGAAGGGTACCGAGTCCCCTTGTCCCCTCGCAGAGAGCGTACCATGGGTGCTTGTCCCCGGGTCCTCTCGGCCGGTGCAATTGGTGTTTGATTCGTAGTGACAGTGGTTGAAGCCTACATGCTGGGCAGAGACCTTTCGAGGGTCTCGGCGCGTGAGCAGCGTCCCACCTGCTCCTGGACCAGACAGGAAATCTGGTAGAGTTTTTGGAAAGGTAACTCGGTGCTATTAACAGTCTACTTCCATGGGACTCGTCATCCCCGGGAAGCAACGCTGGTAAGGCTACGGCCTCAGCTGATTGAGCTTAATCTCAATCCCACGCCCACGGGGGCCCTGCTAGGTAGGCCTTCATGGCAGGTACTACCAGGTTAATCGGACTTCCCTCTGTCTGTCGTTGCGTCCTTCTTACTCGTTTCGGGAAGCACTCTCTGCTTCAGTTTTCCGAAAGGCACACATTGTTTTAACTGTAGAAAGCACACTTAGCTTCGATTTTTCGAGGCACATATAGCCTTGTTTTATATAAACAATAAATTAAGTATTCGTGAACTTATGTTGAATTCATTTCGATACTCGAGACTCGTCAATATCTTGAGTGGGCCGTTGAACAGTGCAGAACAAATGCAATACGCAAATCTGCCACTAAACGCGAGACACGTATCATGGAGCAAATAAACAAATTGATAGAAAAGAAAACCTCGACTAGGTAATTAGTTTTGAACGTCAGAGACATCGACATTCCAGCTTACAATTAACGTAGAAGCTGGAACAGAAAACAACGGTACATTCACAGGTGTGTATAATAGTAGCTCACAGTTTAACTATCAACCCTGCCGTATGTTGTAATTAGACGATCTATCAGATCGCCTTTCACCTGAGAAAAAGCACCTTAATCATTTGATTTTGTTAAAGTCATATATCTGGGATTAAGCAGTATTTAACTTGTGGAATATCACTTTTTGACGAACATTTTCTAACTCTTCGTTGTACAGGATGTTAAGAAATATTTTTCTGTTGTTATAGATGGATTCTGTACGTATGGATCGATGAAAGTTTATAATAAAAAAGGCCATATAAAATTGAACTTCACCTTCATTCTGACTGCTAATTTTTTTGTTATAATGTTCTATACTCAAAAAAAGGTATCGAACCTGGAAATTCGAAAAATAATGAAACTTTGTGTGTAAGTAGAGTAAGTTGAGCTTAATACATTGCAATTTTTTTCGTGCCGAATTTCAATTTGAGAGGATGAAACCACACCTTGAAGATAATACAAATTTTCCTTTCCCGCGGATTATCTTGAGAAGAGCAAGCAAAAAAGAAGTTTAAACAAAAAATACATTGTTTTTTTACTTTTATAAAATTACAAAATAAAATTTTTCAAAATTTTGATTTTGGAAATGATTGATTTGGAAATTTTATTTTACAATCTTGTAGATGTGAAGGAACAAAGTAGTTTTCGTTTAAACTGTCTTTCATTACCTCTTACCGTTTTTGAAATAATCCACGGGAAAGGAAAATTTTCATTTTGTTCAAGGTGTGGTTTTACCTCTTCAAAGTGAAATTCAACACAAAAAAGAATTGCAATCTACTAGGTTTGACTTACTCTACTTACACACAGTTTCACAATTTTTTTTAATTTTCGGGTTCGATACCTTTCCTTGCCAGTAGAGGGAAAACGTGTTAAACAAATCTAGCGGAATATTTCACGAAAAAGTTCGTTTCAATAGCCAGATGAGAAAGAATCCGCTTCAGAACACAATTTGATTAAACAGCAAGGAATAAAGGGAAAACAGGGAGAAAGAAAAATAGAAAGTAAGCATATGTAATGCTGATCCTACGTGGTAGATTCTACGGGATCAATGTGCGACAACAGATGCAATTCTTATTTCACCTAACCGCAAAGTACAAACATATTACGCATAAAGTAATACTAAGAATTTATTGAAGTTTAACATTCTTTTACAAAAAAAAATCGAGTTACGACCCATGGCTCTATTAAGATCTTCTTTGTCATAATGTATAGAATACATTGCAATAAAAAGGGGTTTACCCGGAAAATGAAGATC